TCCTTTTCGAATCTAACATGAAACATATCCTAGCAGCGAAATTCGTTCAGTTATTCCAAGAAAGAACGTTTATGGATAAATATGACTGTCTGCTAACGCAAGCGTCGGTAGCATTATTGCATTAATTCGAAGGAGATGAGTTAACTTCCAGAACATCAGGAATGGAATTCCATGTGAGTATGTGGCCTTCACAAAAAAACCTGTTGATCTATTTTACTCCACTTTTATTCAATTTTGTACCTTTTTATGCTTTAAAAGCAGCGATCCGACCAAGCTTGGCAATAGAGCAGTTCAATAAATCTACTACGCTGATTCATTCCGCCTTCTCAAAATGACTCCAGAAGCAGTGTTTTATACTGTTGCATTTATGGTCTTTTCATGAGCCCTACATTCACAAAGGGTCCTCTACTTGCACCGCCGGAGCGAGTAGTGTGACGAAACCTAACTAGCGGGCAAGATAGATTTGACTTCTTGGGCCCGTGAATGCGCATAACCGTAAAAATCTCCAAAGCCGTCTTAACACTTTTTTATCAGACAAATTTATTAGATGTCGACGGCCGAAGATAAGCCTTAATGCATAGGCGCGTGGTCTAATGTGCGTGCCTAGTCGAATTTTTTTTAAAAATTATTTATGCTACCCAATGGAAAGAAAAGCCGATCTGGTATATTTTACAAAATGCAGACTTTTGATAAATAGAATTTGCTTTAGCTAAAAAAAGGACACGTTACCTTGCTCACTGCTTGAAGACAGGCAAGCAAATTCAGGTGAAATGTTGAGGGACCAAATGCTGCGTCACTAGGATAAAAAAGAGGGAGTTGGTTAAGGTTATCCGAAATCGATAGAAGATAGCTGTTCCGTCAACGAGGTCTCTCTCGAAACAAAACGGTGGGACGCGAATGCACATAAGATAGGCCGATTTAGTTGCCAAAGAGGTCCACTTCGCACGTCTCAAATATCAACCAAATTAAAACATTCACTGCATTTCTGAAGTATTTCTAAATAACAACTTTCTAAGTACAGTAGCCGCTGAAGACCATGCAACGCTAATTATGAAATTTACCTGGACAATTTGGCATATAT